GGCTGATTTGGGGCAGTGACACATTGGGGGTCTCAGCTGCCGTTGTGATGTGCGGGGTCCTTTGTGTGTCCCTGCTCCTTTTTAAGGATAGATGAAAGTAGTCACTCGCACTCCATGATATTAAAGTCAGTGCTGTTTATTGACTTTATTGTGAGATAACACACATCTCCTTAGCGACGTTTCAAGACCATGCGGTCCAGTCCTCAGGCAAACTGTTGGAGGCATCCGTTGTCACTACCGCACCCACCCAGTTGGATTTGGGTTTTTGTCTGGTCAGGAGTGCGATGGGACAGGAGGATTATGCTCCTTTAAGGAGGCTGGGCTGCCTCCTGGTGAACCTGCACCCAATTTTATATTTTACTACGTGTGCTCCAAGATGGAGACGCCTATAGGTTAAAGTTAGGACCGCACTACACAGAGGGGCCTTGACGAGGCTGTGCGGCGTTCACAACTTTTTCTGCAGAAGACGTGTATCTAAAACTTCTTCTGTTTTTAACTATAGCGGCTAGACAGGTTTTGCATGTACATGCTGGCTGGTGAGTGTGTTTTTACATGCTGGCTGGTGACTGTGCTGGGAAACGTTTTGCTGTTGTACTGTTTAAAGTAGGGATGCACCGATATATCGGCCGAAAATGGCACTTTTGGCATAATGCCGAAAGTGCCATTTTCCTGCCGATACATCGGCACATCCGTGAGTTCTTTTCTACCAGCTGGGCGCTGCTCTATGTCCCAGCGGGGAGCAGAGAAAGTGACAGCCGAGCGCTGCGGTGGAGAGCGCTGTGAACGGCCGGCGTCTCCTCCCACACCGCTATGCCGCCTACCGCAGAGCGGTGTGGGGGTGGAGACAGCGCTGTCACAGGAGGCTGAGCTCTCCTCCCGCACCGCTTGATCAGCCTCCTGTGGCAGCGTGTCAGAGAGAAAAGCAATGTACACACACTCAGTGATCAGTGATCACTGAGTGTGTGTACATAATTGAGGATATGGTATGTTAACTATATCCTCAATTATGAATGAATGGGAGTGATCTACATCACCCCCATTCATTCATAATTGTAGTTATAGTAAACAAACCATGTACTCATGTTATCAATGAACAGGAAGACTCATAGAGGATTCCTGTTCATTAATAACAGGGGACACAGAAAAAGAGATTGAGGACTTTGTGTTCTCAATCTTTTTTTCTATTTTAACCCCTTCATGACTGAGGCCCTTTTTTCAATTTTTGCACCCATGTTATATTCCACATTTTAGGCCTGAAAATGACGTAAAACCCCCCAACATTATATATTTTCTGAATGCCAAGACCCTATAGAATAAAATGGTGGTAG